TGTGTGCTACCTTCATCCCTTTCTCTCCTTTGCCTTTGTGGCTAGCTTGTGGTTATTAACTCTTCACCATTCCTTCCTTAGATCCTCCTGTGTGGGCATAGACGGTGGAGCAACCGTTTGGTGTCTTGGTTGGAGTTTGGGTTTTCATATTGTGGTGTCGATTGGAGTATTCTGAGCCCGGTAGCTTAGTGTTTCAACCTTCACAGGAGAGAGCAGTGATCAGCGATTTGCTTACTCCCGATGAGCCTCATTCCATCAGTCGATCTCCGCTGCTGAGCCTCCTCATACTCCAATATCAATAAATACGTCACATGTTTTAGGGGGTGTACATAAACATCCGTTATGGGAAAACAACTATAATTGTGTGTTTGCTCCTCGTGTTCTTGTTTTTGGGATTATTATTGCTCTTATAAGGGATTAAGACTTAGTCTCTAGACATGGCAAACTTGCTATTCGCCCCCATCATGGCTATTCTTTGCCGCATGATTAGAGGCAAGGTTCTACCCAGTCTTCATCATCTCCAGTTTTTTGATATTTTCTACTTTCACATGGAAACTATTTGTGTAATTTTTTTTATTGAGATTGGAAGCAATCTCTTACCTTTGATTAGATGTACTAGACTGTGTCTAAGGAACATACAATTTTAATGAGAAATATATACAGACTCTCATTAACAGTCAAGGCTAAGTGAAGGACAAAGAATAAATATAAATTTCAGTATTTTTCCTTACAACGTTAGCCAACCCTATACTAATTTATTAACGTACAATCGGATAGTTTCCACCATGTAGTCGAGTATAAAATTTATTAATTACTTAATTGTATATTGCATTGATGAATCTAGAGTGACTTGAGATGTCTAATGCATACAAATTAAACAAGTGAATTACGTGAATAAAAATAGTTAAACCAACTAATTAATCAAGCCATATACTTGATAGGCATTAAAATTTAATTTGACCTCAATGATTAGCACAACAAAGCTAGTTATTTGTATAGAGTTGAGAACTCGAGAATTGATATTATTTTACAAATACTTAGAAAATAAGAAAATGGCGTTAACTAGAGCAGAAACAATGCCATCCGTAGTCCCTGCCTCTCTCCAGCCAACACTTTCTTGTCTCTCGAAAGGGGCTCCTGATTTCAATATTTAAAAAAGTCAAGATATGGATATTAAACAATTAGATTGATCAAATAAATTTAAATGTTTACCTTCACTTCAGAAATTTTCTCTTAAATCTTGTCACAGAGATTGCTGTTGTCACGTACATGTAGTTCCCAACGTTGTTTCACCAGTTGAAGTAGGAATGCCTCCAAGAATGCTTGAGGACTAGAGTTGTAACAACTACCCAGAATCCAATAATGAAACCAAATGCCATGCAGATATAAAAGTCATGCGTTATAAACCCATCATCTTCTTCAAAACTATTCCCCTCTCCGTGATCAGAAGCAGAACCATTGGAAATGTCTCCTGGACACTTAGCTAGAGGCTGCCCACAAAGTTGGCTATTCCCAGTATATATAGAGGAGTTGAAGCTTTGTAGTTGAATGCCTAAAGGAATCTTTCCGGTAAAATTATTGTACGATAAGTCCAAAACGCTGAGAAAATTTAGATCTGCAAGGCTATTCGGTATTTCTCCTGAAAGCTGATTTCTAGACAAGTCAAGAATTTCCAACATCTCCATTTGACCAATGTTTG